GGATGTGCAGCTGGGCAATGGCTGAGCCGTCGTGCCCCGCTGCACGAACCTGCTCTTGCGTCGCCTGCAGGAGCTATCCGCGCCTTGAGTCGCTCCCTGGACTGGCTGCTGGCTGTCTACAAGTTCATCTTCCCCTTCCTGGTGGGCTGGGTGGGTGGGTGGGGTAAGGCGCCGCTTGGGAGCAGCTGCTGCCAGCCTACGCCAGGCACAAGGGTCGCTTGGGCACCTGCTTGGGGTGCCCGCTTTCGCTTGCTCCCCACATGCCGAGCATTTGCGGCCTGAACGCCCTCTGCATCCTGCCTGCCGCTGCCCTTGGCCCTGTTTGCTGCAGCTCATCAGTATGGCCGCCAAGCGCACCGGTGGCAGCAAGGATGCGGGTGCAGAAGGCGCAGCAGATGCTGCTGAGGATCCAGCACAGCTGGGGCCGGATGCACCCGCCCTGCCTGCCATTGCGCGCCGCGGCAGCGAGCAGCAAAACGGCGACCTTCTGGCCACCGCGCTGAGCAGCCGTGTGGGGGTCGCCCAAGGGGATGCCGCCGCGCAGGCGCTGCAGCATCAGCGCCTGCAGCTTCGGGGCGTGAACGGTGCCAGCGGTGGCTTCAACGCCCTCTTGAGCAACAGCAGCGGCGGCAGCGGCGCCATCCGAGCTGGCAGCCAGAGCCCGCACGGGCCGGAGACGCCGGTGGAGGGTGGCGGCAGCAGGCTGCCGCTGCACCCGACAGCGCGGCATGGGGCAGGTGAGGGCTTTTTCTGCACTGGCGTACCTGCGTGCCTGCACCTTGTGAGCTGAGCTGTTGTTCAGCCCCGCCTCCTGTGCCTGAACTCCGTCCCTGCCTCCTCTCTGATGCAGCAGCCAAGACGCCCTGCCAACGGCAGCGCCTGGCTACCGCCAGCGAGATAGATGCCGACTACAGCTTCTGACACCGCCACCGCCTGCCGAACAGCCGTTCAGCACGGCTGCTACCTCGTCTTCCCCTCCTGCGCTCCTCGTCTGTTAGTTTACAGAAGTTCGTTTGTTTTCTTCTTCTGCTTAGCTAGCAGCAGCTGCAGACAACCCAAAACTTGCCACCACTGCTCGCGCAAGCCCCCCGCCACCAGTACACTGCATTCACGCCTTCTTGTGTAGCCTCCCCGACCCCTCATTCAGTTGCCATTGCACCCCCAGGACCCCTTGCTTTGCACCCCTTCTCCCGCCTGCTGGCTACAGCAGCAGCTTGCACAACACTCGGTAACTGTTGCAACACTGCGGGACACAAGACACCAAACGGCAAACGGAGACAAGTGTAGTTTCTTTGAACAAGCAATGTGCAAAGCTCAGCGGGGAAGACTCGTGGCAGGCAGAAGGAGCAGTCATGTGAGGTCCTCGTCGGCCCACTCGCCCCAGCCCTCCTGCTGCCGCCGCGGGTCGCCGGCAGCCTCGTTGGTGTTCCAGGCAAAGCCGGCATCGGAGGCGGGCTGCGCCTCGCCGGCAGCGCCCCAGCCGAAGGCGGCATTCTGGTGCTCCTGCCAGCAGGAGGCAACGAAGGCCATGGCGCCGGTGCTGCCACCGAGCGACACATCCTCAAACTGGGCGGAAGACTCGTCGCCGCCCTGCCAGCCGCCCGCGCTGCCAGGCTGCTCCTGCCAGCCCTCACCGCCGCTGGCATCTGCCGCCTGCGGCTCTGGCGGCTGCTCCAGCCAGCTGGTGCCGTCTGCGTCGCTCTCCTGCTGCTGCCACGCGGCCGCTGCATTGTGCTGCTCCTGCTGCTGCCAGTCAGCAGCGGTGCCCAGCTGCTCCTCCTGCGCGGCGTCCCACTCCTCCTCTACCTGGCCCCACTCAGCCGCAACAACAGCAGGGCTGGGCTCCGGCTCGTCGTCAGCGGGGCCAACATATACAGCTGCCGGCTGCTGCGCCCACGTGGCTGCCTCCTCGGCTGCTGCCACAGCATCGGACGGCCACTCCTGCTGCTGCTCCTGCTCCCAGGCGGCCGCCTCCTGAGCTGCCGCCACGGCATCGGTGGGCCAGTTGCCGTCAGCGGGCTGCTCCCAGGCAGCCACCTCCTCAGCTGCTGCAGCATCAGTAGGCCAGTCCTCCTGTCCAGTCTGCTGCTCCCAGGCGGACGCCTCCTCGGCGGCTGCTGCGGCATCGGTAGGCCAGTCCTCCTGTCCAGCCTGCTGCTCCCACGCGGCAGCCTCCTCGGCGGCTGCAGCGGCATCGGTAGGCCAGTCCTCCTGTCCAGCCTGCTGCTCCCACGCGGCAGCCTCCTCGGCGGCTGCAGCGGCATCGGTAGGCCAGTCCTCCTGTCCAGCCTGCTGCTCCCACGCGGCAGCCTCCTCGGCGGCTGCAGCGGCATCGGTAGGCCAGTCCTCCTGTCCAGCCTGCTGCTCCCACGCGGCAGCCTCCTCGGCGGCTGCAGCGGCATTGGTGGGCCAGCCAGCATCCAGTGCAGGCTGCTCCAGCTGCTGCTGCTCCGGGGTGTCTGCCTCCTCTGCCACAGCGGTCTCAGCAGGCCACTCCGTCTGCTGCTCCTCTGCTGCCACTGCCGCGGCATGCTCAGCAACAGCCCCTTCCTCCACCTCCTCCTCCACGGCCTCGCCATCCCCGCCGCCATCCTCCCCCCAGCCAGCCTCCTCCTCCACTTGCGCCAGTACCGCGGTCACAGCCCGCTCATCCTCGCCCCGCTCCACCAGCAGCTGCACAAGGCGTGCCACCTGCGGCGGGTAGGGTGGGGCAGCAGGGAGACATCAAACCGCAGCCAGTTCCGCCAGACGGCCAGCAGGCAGCGGACAGATGCCGCCTTGCGGCGCGCCAGCCGTGCCGCACCACACACCTTGGCCTCCTCCTGGCCCAGGCTGGTCAGGCAGTCGGTGAGCATCTCCTCGCCCGACGCCACCTCGCTGCGCAGAGCCTCCACCTCCTCAGCCAGAGGCTCCAGCGCCTGCAGGCGCGGCAGCAGAGCAGAGCAGACCGTTGTGGTCGACACATGGAAAGGCTGCCGAATTGCTGTAGGCAAAGAGGGGCACAGTGGTGCAGGCCGCGTGGACCACCCTGCCAGCTGCCCACACACCTGCACCCGAGCGCGCACAGCCTCCAGCTCCTGCTGCAGCGCCGCCAGCTGCGCCTGGTCCTCGGCAGGCGCCGCCGGCGCAGGCGCAGCGGCCACGGCGCCACCCGCCGCCAGCGCATCCAGCTGCTCCTGCTGCTGCTCCAGCAGCTGCAGCATCTCCTGCTGCTGCTCCTCGGCGAGCGCCATCTCCTTGGCCACCCGCTGCTGCTCCTCCTGCATCTGCTGCTGCAGCGCCGCAGCGGCGGCCTCGGCGGCGGCGGCCGCCCCCTTGGCGCCAGCCAGCTCCTGCCGCAGCAGGTCCATCTGCCCGGCATCAGAGCCCACGGGTGAGGTGCTTGCTGCCTCAGCCGCCTGCTTGGCAGCAGACAGCTCCAGCAGCTGCTCCTCCGCCGCGGCCGCAGCCTCGGCCGCCGCTGTGGCCTCGGCCTTGGCGGCTGCCAGCTCGTGCCGCAGCAGCTCAATCTGGTGCTCCTCCTCGGCAGCAGTGGCCTGCGCCTCCGTCGCCGCCTGCTGCTTCAATGCGGCAATCTCCAGCTGGCCTTCCTCGGCTGCCAGCGCCGCCTCCACCGCCGCCTCGGCCTCCGCCTTGGCGGCAGCCAGCTCCTGCTGCAGCATGTGGATGCGGTGGTGCTGCTGGTCGGCGTCGGCCGCCGCCTCGGCGCGAGCCGCCGCCAGCTCCTGCTGCAGCACCTCCAGCTGGCGGCACTGCTCCAGCGCGGCGGCGTCGGCAGCCTCTGCGGCCGCTGCTGCCTCCTGCTGCAAGGCGGCCAGCTCAGACTTGAGCGCCTCCACCAGCTGTTGCTCATCCCCAGCCGCCTCTGCCTGCAGCTTGGCGGCAGCCAGCGCCTCCCGCAGCAGCTCAATCTGGTCCTGCTGCTCCTGAGACGCCTCCGCGGCCGCCTCAGCCGCAGCCGCCAGCTCCTGCCGCAGCGCCGCCAGCTGCGCATCCCTCTCCTGCACCGCTGCCGCCGCCTCCGAAGACGCCGCCATCGCCTGCTGCAGCTCCTCGTCCGCCGGGCCGGCGGATGCCACAGCCAGCAGCTCATTACGCTCCGCCTCCAGCGCGGCAATCCTGCAAGCGGGCGGGAGCAGGCGGGAGGGCAGGCTACGCATCAGCGTTGGCTGCTGCCTCAACAGGCGCCGATCCCAGCTCCACTGCAGTGCATGCTGCTGCTGCGTGGTACCCATGGGAACCCCCACCTCTCCGCATCCTGCGAGCGCAGCTTCTTGGCCTTGACCAGCTGCAGCTTGAACTTCTTCACCTCCTCGTCGCGGGCAGCCACAACCGCCTCGACCGCCTGCGCCGCCGCGGCCGCCGCCTCCTCGCCGGCGGTGGCCAGCTCAGCACGCAGCGACTCGATGACCAGCCCCTGGGAGGCCAGCTCCTGTAGGGACGGGGCACGACATGGCGGCACGGCGGTCAGGGATCAGAAGGACGCAGCTGGCTGCAGGCCTCGCCGGCTATGCGATTGAAAACAGCACAGGTGGCCAGCAAGCAAGCCAGGCAGCCAGACTGCTGCCTTTCACCTCTTGCAGCGCGCCAACCTCCTCGGCGCGCGCCGCCGCGGCCGCCTCGGCCTCCTGCGCCGCCGCCGCCAGCTGCTGCTGCAGCTGGTGCACGTCGGCCTCCCGCTGCAGCAGCTGCTGCTGCACCTCGCCCAGCAGAGACTGCTGCTGCTCCGCGGCCTCTGCCGCAGCAGTCACCGCGGCAGCGGCCGCCGCCTGCTTCTGCTGCAGCTCCTCCAGCTGCTGCACGCGGGCGGCCAGCTCAGCCTCAACCTGCAGCCGCACCTGCTGCTCGTGCTCGGCGGCGGCGGCAGCATCCGCGGCGTGCTGCTGCGAGGCGGCCTCAGCCGCATGTGCCTGCGCCAGCTCCTCGCTGAGCGCGGCCATGCTGGCGCTGCCCGCCTCTGCATCCGCGCGCCGCTGGGCCACCTCGGCCGACGCATGCTCCAGCTGCTCCTGCAACAGCAGGCGGGAGAGCAGGCAGCTGATTGCTTGCCGTGCAAGAACGCACGAGTGCGCACAAGGGAGATCCGCACAGCACCGCACAGGCGTAAGCCTCTGGAGGTGGGTCGGCGGCGCGGTTGAGTTGCTCGCCCTCACCCAGCCCCCCCTCCTGCCCGCCACCCACCTGCTTCTCCTCCAGCAGGTCCATCAGCTTCAGGTTCTCCTCGCCCAGAGCATCCAGCTCCTGCACGCAGCGGCAGCGGCAATATACAGGAGTGGAGCCAGATTGGGGTAGGGGCACGAGCATGGCATGCCCGCTGCACCACATCAGATGTGACATGTGACACAAGCAGCAGAGCAGGACAGCAGGCCGGTGCTACGGCCTTGCCTGCTGGTGCCCCGCCGCCATGCCCTCCACCTGCTGCTGCAGCTGCTGCTGCTCCGCCGCTAGCTGCTCCTGCATCGCCTGCGCCGCCTCCAGCTGTTGCCGCAGCTCGGCCAGCTCAGCCTCGGCGGCGGCGGCGGCCTGGGCAGCAGCCTCCTCATGCTGCGCCGCCACCACCGTCAGCTCCTGCCGCAGTTGGGCGACGACGGCCTCGCTGGCCGCCGCCGCCTGACCAGCCGCCTGCTGCTCCTGCTGCACCACCTGCACCACCGGCGGGCAGCGGCAGGAGCCACAGCTTGAGCACCAGAGGGACGGGACACGCACCAAGCATGCCCCACCAAAGGACCCCACTCAATAGCGAGTCGCTGCAG